GGAAAATCAAATGTCAATAGTTTCTTAATGTCCAGTTAATTAGTCCTTTTCATCACTAATTCAACTCATACCCACTTGCAAAGATATATAATTTATAAGGTAATTACATTTAGGGCTGTGCAAAAAAATCCGATATCCGATCCGGATCCGATCCGCTCTGATCCGTAAAAATCAAATACCGAAAATTCGGATGGGATACGGATCGTTTTTTTTTTTTAAATCTGAATATTCGGATCGGATACCGGATCGAGAATGTTAAAAATTTGGATATCTGAATCCGATCCGGATTTTACAAAACTACGTCATTTTGACTTTTGAGTGTAACAACTAACAATAACCCGAAGTTTAACACAATGTCACAATTAACTCAATTACTCAACTCTGTCTCTCTCACTCGTCTCAATCTCTCTCGGCTCTCACCGGAACTCGGAAATCGAAAGCCTGTCTCTCACTCTCTCTCACTCTCAGTCTCTCTCGCTGGAACACGTAGTCACGCACAGCACAGACCTCACACACTCTCTGTCTCTCTCACTCTCAGAGTCTCAGTCTCTCTCACTCTCAGAGTCTCAGTCTCTCTCGGCTCTCGCTGCCTCGTTGGAACACGCAGTCACACACAGTCGCATAGACCTCATAGTCTCACACACAGTCACTCAAACTCTCTGACCATATCTCAGCTCAGTCTCTCACTCAGTCACTCTCTCTCGCTCAACTCTCTCGGTCTCTTTCACTCGAACACGCACAGCGGCCAGTGTCTCTTGCTCAACTCTGTCAGATCTCAGTCTCTTTGACGATTGAAGCCCCAAATCGATCGTAAGTTAATTTCTTTAGAATTTAGAGTTGCTGAATTTTGTTCACGTCATATATCCCTGAGGCTACAATAAATATTGAATCTACAAATTTGACTACAATAAAACTTTGTTTTTATAATTTAATCTTTATCATCGAAAAAAGTATCTGGGTATTATAGTTTGACCCCTAAATCTAATCCACTGGAGAATTTTCCTGGCTTTGTTTATTGTGGAAGGAAGCATGGTTGGTGATAGAAAAGTGGAAAAGGAATATTATGAGAAACTGAAAATGTTCTAATTTGGTTTGTTTGAGATGCATTGCTTGCTTGCTTCACCAAAAGGTGAAGTGCTGACTGCTGAGATAGGAACAAGTTAACAACATCTCTTTTAGTGTTTAACTTTATGCTTAAGTTAAATTAAGTAATGGTGTGATAATAACATCTCTTTTAGAGTTAATTCCTGTCTAAATCTTTAGCTTTCTAACGAGAATAATGCATGTATTAGTGAACTAATAAGCACCATATTCACATTTAATTTGCAATCCTCGAATCAAAACTGTCACATGTTATTGAGCATATTTTCATTTTCAGTATATTGATTTTGTTGTTAATCTTAAAAGTTGTTTATTGAAATGGTTTATTTATTTTGTTTTGTTTTGTACAGGAGGATGATGACGAGTAGTTAAGGGAGACAAAGCCATCTGATATGAAAATAAGCATAGCAATTTAGGCAGTTGGTCAATTGAGCTAGTTGTTTTAATAATTTGACACATCAGGTGGAGCCTTACGCCCAATAATTTCATATTTTCATGTTCTTCCTGCTGCACGGTTTGATGGCATGTTGGTCTAAATCTGCTGGTGTTAGTGGCTCAAAATCACAGTCATTGTCAATCAGAGAGTGCAGATACAATGGTCAATCTGGTAACAAGAAACCATGTGTGAGGCGAGTAGGATTTGGCAATGAAGAATTGAAGATAGCATAGTCATTTAGGCTGTGACAGTGTTTGGACAACATAAGTTAAATGTTTTGTGCTTCATGTTAATTTTTTTAGATACTTTTATCATGTAATTGTAAGGGAATTATAATTTCAATTTTATTTCTAGAATTATTTGATTTTAAAAAGAAAATTGTTAAATTCGGATCACATTCGGATATCCGGTTATCTGATCCTAATAATCGGATATCCGTAAATTCAGATATCCGCATAATTCGGATCGGAGTCGGATCAGGGTATAGTCTGATCCAAAAATTCGGATCGGATCAGAAAATGCCATATTCAGATTGGATATCCAGATTTGCACACCCCTAAATTTACATTACATCCAACCTTATAGTACAATATATAGAAGTTGAAAGTTCCCGCAAAGTGTTATAAATGAATTATTCTCATGAAAAACCCTAGAAAATGACTCGTTAAGGTGAAAAGAACGGCACTATAATGTTACTCACTACAAACTTCTGACTACCTAGTCAATAGAAAAAACAAAAAATTTGATGGAATTTTTAATAACTCAAGAAGAGCAAGTTATGCGGGGAGGTAACTATTTTTTATAGTTTTCCTGAACAGAGTACTCTGTTTTACTTTGTCCTGATTGTATTTTATTAGGATGCAAGTACAAAGTATTTTATAAGTTTCAGTTGTTTTAGGTTAGATAATGTTGTGTTAGGCTTTTTACATTGTTTGGAACTGAAAATATCGAGCGAGAAATCTCTCATTGGCTGCATTACCATTTATAAACACTGATTCTGGTGTTCAAGATGGAAGAAAAATCAGATTTGAAAACCATCCTCTGTTGTCTTCTCTGTTTCTCTACAGAGTTTCAGTTCTGTTCCATATGTACTTTCTGTTTCCTTATTGATGGTATTGTTGTAACAAGCTAAATAAATATTTTATCCTTTGAAAATCAGTTTGCAGATAGATGGGGAATCGACATGTTAAATTATTTATCACTTAAAATCTCCATTAAAGGATGCAAGAGTATGGTCCAAACCTTTCCACAAACTATTACTCAATTATTTGAAATCTCCATTAACATTTTAAATTATTTAGAAATGACAGGTAGGGTGCAAGGTCGGCGTTTCATTTATATACATCATAACGTCAACTCTGCAATTTTTTGAGCATTTTTGATGAAATTGGCATCGGAATTTAAGTCGCACCAGAGTTTAAATACTTCCATCTCATCAACGGCACCACACAGTATCGTAGGAGTAGTTCGCTGTGGTTTCCTGTGGAAATAAGATCCCACGACACAACATTGAGCACAAGAATGATTAGTATATTTTGTAACATGTCAATTGTTTTTTTCTTGAGCTTGTTTCAGTTAGGAGAACAAATTATCAAAACAAATGTCAAGATCAAAAGCTTTAGAATCTCCAATCTCCCTCGTCGTTTTGATATAAAAATTCAGCAGATATTATAAATGGTAATAAAACTTCATAAAGTCAACCTAGCTATTTCTTTTAAGCTTGGTTTTGTTAGGAGAGCGGCACATTATTTAACTTAAATGTTACCATCATTAAGAATTATTTGGAAGCATCGCTTGTAGAATTTTCAAATTCAAATTGTGATTTATAAAATATTGCTACCTTGTTAAGTAAGGACCGTAGCTGATAAAATTTCAGCTTCGAACTGTATCAGGCAGAAAGTTAATCGCCAACCTGACATGTTGGGAAAGTACTTTTGAACTTCATCAAGAAAAATAATTAGATTTTTGTTGGCAAGGACTCTAGATCGCATAGACCATTGGATATCCATCTTCAATAAGATTTTCTTTATTCAGTATCATTCTAACAGTTCCCAAGGGTAGTAATTGAAGTAACAACCAATACAGAGAAAGAAAAAACAAATTATAAATTGGTTCAAACTTCAACTACACATACGATATCAACTTTTTTTGTTAAAATGGATTAAGTTTCCTCACGTCAAAAACTTCTACATATAAAAATCCCATCTAAATTTTAAGGAAATTTACCCTATATTATATAATTTCTAAATTTGACCACACTCATTTACTTTTTTATCTATTTTATATTATATAATTTTGAATATGCCCTCTCTAAAACTAATTCATGGGTCTGCCCCTGTTGACAAGTCAAGTTTACAAAATTCTGAATTGATTTCATTGCAATGGTCAGCAGGAAACAGTATGTTAATTTAAATAGAATTTCAGTATATTGTTGATTGTGATCTAAGTTACGCATCTAATGGTTTAAATCGTCTAATGCAGGGGCCCTACAAGATAAATAGTATCGATAGTGTTAGAATGCTATGAAATTTGGCAAGGTACTCCGAAGCGGCCAAACAAGTTAGACTTGTTGCGAAGAAATGAGTTTTGTCATTTTTAGCCTTTTGGAATTGTTTAGGTGGGTTTTTAGACATTTTCATCACTTTAGGGGTGTTTTTGTAATTTTTTGAAGTTTTGAGACTTTTTAGATTTTTGCTGCCAATGTTTAATTTTCCCTTTTTCCTTGTATTTTCGGATTGGGGTTTTTTTAGGGGAACTATTTAAAGTTTGGTTCAGCTGTAACAGGGGCAGTTTCTTTTCCTTTTTTTTTTTTTTTTTTACTTTTCATTAGTGAATGAAATATTAAGAATCTTGTGTGGAGAGTTTGTTGAGAGTGCCCAAACTTTTTAGTTTTGCTTCAATTTATTATCATCCACTTTGAGTGAAGAATTTGTTGATTGTATGCCTTTAGTTTCCTCTAGAAAAGAAAATTGTTCGAAACCAATCTTATGGTTAGTGGAAGCACTTATGTGGGTAGTTTGCCATCATCTCGTGGATTTTCTTTTCGTTTACACTTTGAAATTTGGGCATCATAATTTGGTTATGATTGCTTTGTTTCATTTGTTTATCTGCTTGGTTTTGCAGGTATATTTTATTGCGCAAAGACGGGAAAAGTTCTAGTTTGCTTCCGCTAAATTTTGTGGTTCGTGATTGAGTTTATGGCATTTTTTTTCCTCGAATTCATTTTACTAATTTCCTAGTTCAAAGCCATACATCAACATCACAGAAAATAAACAAATTTTAATACACACATTCAACTTTTTATTTCCAGAAAGTTAAAGAAGTACAGTAGAAGCATAGTTGCTTTCCCTTTACCAAATGAAAGACAAAATAATTGACGAAGTCAAAAGAAGTTTTAAAACCTCACACACGAAAATACAAAACATAGAAACTGAACTAGGACATAGATTGAGAATTTAATTTGTTATCTTGCGAGGGTAGATAATTCAGTGTGACTATCCAAGTTGACCATGTTTATAGAAAGTGTTGATTCAGCTTCATCGCCCACTTTTCCAGACGCTCTCTCAATTGCCAAACACTCATTCAGTTCTGTCACTACCTTAGTCATGGTTGGCCTTTTGCTAGCAATTAAAGAAGCACAAGCCATTGCTAATTCTACAGCTTTCCAGGCAGAGTTTATATCGAAGTCTCTAGGTAATCTTGGATCAACAATGTTCCTAATATCCGCCTTTGAAATTATGGATTCTACCCATCGACTTATATGAGTCCTCTCGATGCTTTTCTCAATCATAGGTTTACCTGTTATTATCTCTAACAAAAGCATTCCAAAGCTATATACATCACTTTTTTCAGTTAGCCTATGTGATACATAGTATCTGTAGGATCGACCATAACACAACTTAGGCTAAGCAAATTCGCTATGAATCATGCAACTTTCCCAAATAATGGAAGAATATATTGACATTATAAAGCGAGTCTACTTACTCAGGATCAAGGTATCCAGGGGTTCCAGCAACGTTTGTTGACACATGAGTTCCACCTTCAACAGGAAAACTTCTGGAAAGGCCAAAATCAGCTAATTTGGCTTGGAAATTTTCATTCAATAAGATGTTCGTGGATTTAATGTCTCTGTGGACAATTGGTGGCTTACAACCATTGTGGAGATACTCCAATCCTACATTTCAGATGCAATCCATATAAATTTTGATCATTAACAACCGTAGACAAAAAATGAATCTTTTTTCTGTATAATATGAATAGTAAATTGCGAATCATAAATATACTTCTTTACCTTGTGCTGCCTCTGTTGCTATTCGAAGTCTCCCTTCCCATGTCAACATGTATGCTTGGTTTTCTGCATATGCACCGAGTATTAGTCTACTATCTTTGGATAATTAAATAACTTCCCTCAAATTTAATCGGCTAAAATTTGGGTGGACAGAGTCTTATATAGTAGAGAATGAATTAATACAGAAACCTGTGAGATTGGTTTCTAATTCTCCATTGGCCATGAGCTCATAGATCAGTCCCATGTTGGTGCCCTCGTCACAATAGCCAACAAGGGCTGTCAAGTTTTTATGATGAACTCTCATTAGAAGTTCAACCTTTGAAGAAAACATCCATATCCTCAGATGATTGAATAGACAACTCATAAATTCCGCACAAGTTAATTATTTAATTTGCAAATGTACCTCGGCTTGAAATTCCTTGTATCCTTGAGCTGATGATAGAGAAAGCATCTTAACGGCNTCCTAGTTCAAAGCCATACATCAACATCACAGAAAATAAACAAATTTTAATACACACATTCAACTTTTTATTTCCAGAAAGTTAAAGAAGTACAGTAGAAGCATAGTTGCTTTCCCTTTACCAAATGAAAGACAAAATAATTGACGAAGTCAAAAGAAGTTTTAAAACCTCACACACGAAAATACAAAACATAGAAACTGAACTAGGACATAGATTGAGAATTTAATTTGTTATCTTGCGAGGGTAGATAATTCAGTGTGACTATCCAAGTTGACCATGTTTATAGAAAGTGTTGATTCAGCTTCATCGCCGACATGTCCGGAAGCTCTCTCAATTGCCAAACACTCATTCAGTTCTGTCACTACCTTAGTCATGGTTGGCCTTTTGCTAGCAATTAAAGAAGCACAAGCCATTGCTAATTCTACAGCTTTCCAGGCAGAGTTTATATCGAAGTCTCTAGGTAATCTTGGATCAACAATGTTCCTAATATCCGCCTTTGAAATTATGGATTCTACCCATCGACTTATATGAGTCCTCTCGATGCTTTTCTCAATCATAGGTTTACCTGTTATTATCTCTAACAAAAGCATTCCAAAGCTATATACATCACTTTTTTCAGTTAGCCTATGTGATACATAGTATCTGTAGGATCGACCATAACACAACTTAGGCTAAGCAAATTCGCTATGAATCATGCAACTTTCCCAAATAATGGAAGAATATATTGACATTATAAAGCGAGTCTACTTACTCAGGATCAAGGTATCCAGGGGTTCCAGCAACGTTTGTTGACACATGAGTTCCACCTTCAACAGGAAAACTTCTGGAAAGGCCAAAATCAGCTAATTTGGCTTGGAAATTTTCATTCAATAAGATGTTCGTGGATTTAATGTCTCTGTGGACAATTGGTGGCTTACAACCATTGTGGAGATACTCCAATCCTACATTTCAGATGCAATCCATATAAATTTTGATCATTAACAACCGTAGACAAAAAATGAATCTTTTTTCTGTATAATATGAATAGTAAATTGCGAATCATAAATATACTTCTTTACCTTGTGCTGCCTCTGTTGCTATTCGAAGTCTCCCTTCCCATGTCAACATGTATGCTTGGTTTTCTGCATATGCACCGAGTATTAGTCTACTATCTTTGGATAATTAAATAACTTCCCTCAAATTTAATCGGCTAAAATTTGGGTGGACAGAGTCTTATATAGTAGAGAATGAATTAATACAGAAACCTGTGAGATTGGTTTCTAATTCTCCATTGGCCATGAGCTCATAGATCAGTCCCATGTTGGTGCCCTCGTCACAATAGCCAACAAGGGCTGTCAAGTTTTTATGATGAACTCTCATTAGAAGTTCAACCTATGAAGAAAACATCCATATCCTCAGATGATTGAATAGACAACTCATAAATTCCGCACAAGTTAATTATTTAATTTGCAAATGTACCTCGGCTTGAAATTCCTTGTATCCTTGAGCTGATGATAGAGAAAGCATCTTAACGGCTACTTGATTGTCGTCTAAGTAACCGTGGTAAACTGTTCCGAATCCTCCTTTCCCTAGAACCGTCTCAAAGTTATTAGTCATTCTCACCACATTAGAGTATGAGAACCTTCGATTTTTCAATTCCAATGACCCCTTCTTCCCTGCTTAAAAAATTTGTTAGCGACTGTTTATCCTCAATTCAAAATAATTTGAATGTATGTACTGAAACATTAAATAAATGATGTACTGGTGTTAGCATCGACCGGTTCCTTTTTTCATTCTTTGGATCAATAAAATTACCAATGTTGTAGATAAAATCACAGCAATAGCAACAACTGGTGCTACCATGGGAACAATATTAGACTTGTTTTTCTCTTTGCATGAACCAGGGGAACAAGAATTTGAATTTCCATTCACTCTAGAATCAGAACTTGAAACAATAGCAGTGACTAATTTAGTACTTGGGTAGATGGAAATATATATACACACACACGAGTCTTTATATATATACACACACACGCGAGTCTTTAACATTATTTCATCTTAACAAAAGTAAACCTTAATATCAGTAAACCCTTCTCTGCTTTTTCTTGGAGTGCAGCTGGAACAGGGCCTTCGAGATTGTTTCCTTTCAAGTTTCTGCAAGAAAACAGTAGACATTTGACCCTTTGCTTTTATATTTAATTATGAGAAATAAGCTAGCCTGTCTTACTAATCAAAACTAACTTACAGCAATTTCAAGTTTTGTAGCTGTGCTAAAAACTCCGGCACTAATCCTGTCAGATTATTGTTTGACAAGTCCCTGAAATGGTGATAGCAAATGTTAAATTGACATGGTTTTCGTCAAGTGGACAAACTTACAAATTCATGGTAAAACTGAAATGCTTACAAAGACTCTAAGGAGGTGAGATCGAGTATAAAAGGACTTATCTCGCTAGACAATCCACTCGATGACAAATTCCTGCGAGTATTCCAATCAATAATTTTGCTAATAGTGTTAAATCAAGCTTAAGAAATAAGATGCCATTTGATTCAAACATGAAAACTTACAGGGATGTGATCATTGGGAGTCCAGAATCATAACGGCAATTAAGACCTTGCCACAAATATAGTTGAGGGACACATGGATCTCCTTGCCAACTTGGTCTTTTCACTCCATACTTTCCCTTGATATTTATGATGGCGTCAAATAGTATTTTTACGGGCACGATTAATTTTGGTAAGGATTAAATTAATTGATCATAATCCGAAGACAAGGAAAGGAAACCTACCATCTTGTTCATTTGTCATCAATTCTGAGAAATTTTTTAGCCAGCATATCTCCATGGCATTTAAGATTGGTGGAAGAGTTGACTTCGCAGTTTTTTCCAGTGAAATCTTAATTCTTGTTCAACTGTAGGGAGATAAGTTGTAAGTTGAGTCTGTGGAAGAGGGAAAATAGCCCGGAAGCCAAACATCTCCATTAGTAGAGATATTAAATGCTCTAGTCTGGTTTTCTTTTAATTCTTGAACTTCAGCAATGTGCACGAAGATATAATACAATCTGGTGTCATTAGCCTCCCAAGAAAATTGCAATGATTTACTTGCATTTACCGGTGTGATAGTAGTACTCATGACCAAAATTGGTATTTGGTAACCACTACTATCATCATTGAGGAGATCAGTATTCGAGGTGCTTATCGAGACACTGTCACTGAAGTTGTATGGGAACCATATGCAATCGCAAACATCATCCTGGTACCTATATATTTAGGACATAGTTTTAGTTGGCAACCAAAGATCAACATATATAATTTAGAAAATATAAAAATTACTAATAGTTACCTGATTGTTTCGTTGGTTGTTGAACAAAGAGTACTAGTGATCCTGATATTTGAAATGATTCTATTATGTAAGGTGATGATCCATAATTGGAATTTATCAAAGGCCTCACCTCTGATGCTGATATGAAAGGCGTTCCAGTGTCTGTGTTTTTAAGACAGACATGTATATAATTGTTCTGGGGCATATGGATGATCTCCTTGGTGACGGGAGTGGCGGTGTCTTTGAAATTCACTGAATCCCATACATCCGACTCCAGAAACAGATTAAAACTTGGCAGGGTATTATTCCCATCATAATTTCCATACATGAATCTCGCTTTGATAAAAAAGTTAGCATGGTCATGACCTACAGGTTTTAGGGTGTAACAATTTCTTGATCCTTCAGGGAAGCTTCTAACATTCAATAATTGTCGTTCCAGGGTGTCAGTTTTGTATTCAGGCGATATGCTGTAGCTTTCACCAGTGCCTATCATAGTTGCATCCGAATCGCAATTTATGCCTATTTTCTGGTCAGCATATTGTGAATTTTCCGGAATTCCACAGTCTATGCTAATAAAACCTGAGAGAAATGAAGACAGAGAAATTAGCAGAGGAAATAATAAATTTAGTTAGTGAATAACAATGAGTAGATATGCAATATGTAATTATTTTAACCTGTTTGATTTTGTGCATGAACAAGAACTGTCATAGTTACCACGCCAAGAAATGAGAGAATAAAAAGCTTCAAATCCCCACTGCCTTTTTGGTTTTTTTTTTTCTCAGTATTGAGTCGAATCAATTATCATGGTACAACTTATATAAGTACGATAATTGATATATTTTATTATTTTATAACAAGTCAAACAATTTTCTTATAATATTTAAGCTTGTTTCCGTTCGGAGATGGGCATAGTATTTAACTACTGATAAGTTACTATCATTCATTATCTATCTTCAGCCTGTAATCTTAAAATAAATTTGATCATGTTAGATAGTGGCGTTTATCTATAAAATTTCATTATCATTGGACTAACACTTAAAATAATCTTATAAATTGCATTCAAGTTCCTTCAGTTTTCCAAAGGGTCGTTATCGATCATCCATCACATTACTGTATTAGCACTCAAGTCTTTATAAAACTATTCTTTAAGTAGACAAAAATTTGGAAATTCCCAACTCTTTCTATGAAGAGTTAATGATCATTCATTAGAGAGAACTTAAAATCTGAACTTAAAGACAACCCTATTATTAAAAAAACCAGTGTATTCATATATTCTTTCCATTGAAAAACATGGCTGCAGGCATGTAAATCAGATTTTATAATTACAATGAACCTGGAAAAGAAAAATGAAATCGACAATATATGTTCAATAAAATTTTGTTGGCATGAGCTCTTTAAATTTATTGATATGCCAGGTTTACAGGATTACAGGTAAATTTAAGAGGAGGAATAATTAGTGAAGGTGGTATTTGACCTCCAGCATTATATAATAATACAAAATGATCATATATACATCACATAAATCCAGCCTGAATAAGAAATATATATATCAATTCTTTATTTAACCCTGTTGACTTAATTAACTCTCATATTCTTATGTTGTTTTTGAAACTACAGGTTGACTAATTAGTTTATATTATCTCTAACAGTCTGTCATAAACTATATAAAGTTGGATGCAATTTTTGAAAGAATAGAGAGATACAAAACCAAAATAACAGTAAACACACAAATCACAAACAATAAAGAGAAAGAACAAATACACACGATTTTATCCTAGTTTAATAAATTAACAGGCTATATCTAACATAGTCAATATTGTTACAATACTGTCTTACTTCTCTCGTTTAAAATGAATGTAATTTGTCCTATGATTTACTATCACTCATACAATTGAAAAGTGTGCTTACATACTAGGTTTAAAAGACTAAGACCTAATAGTACATGAATTCTTATTCCTAAGCTTAAATCCAATAATGAATCAATAACTTGAAAAAAATCCTTCAATCACTATTCAAAGAAAAGACCTAAACTGCCTACGAGCCTGCATGACCCCCAAATACGTCTGCGTGATCTATTAATGCTGAAGTTATCGACAACTACAACAATTTTCACATGTAATTGTCTCTTCCTTTGTCTTTAGAGTTCAAAATAAATTATTAAAGCACTACTGGAGAGAAATTATTCAGGTGACTTGACTAACAATTTCATTAACTGCACAACTGAGAATTAGAAAAGAATTTATTCACTTGGCTTGACCAAGCTTATTTATCTAGATCTTTATTTTTTTGTTGTTCTTTTCGCAAACCGTGGACCAGACAATTATTTTAATGAATTATTTGAGCTGTTTGAAAAAAGATTAAAATTTGTATATTGATGAGAATCTTTGGCGACCTTTAATTACGCGTAATTTTTTTTTTTTTAGCTTGTTTAATTAAGCACGATGTTATATGTATTATTAGTTGATTCTTTGCTTTTATATTTACTTATGCGAATTCGGCTAGCCTAACTTACAGAACTTTCAAGTACTTCTGTAGCTGTGCTAAAATTTCAAAGGAGGAATAATTAGTGAAGGTGATATTCAACCTCCAACATCATATTACCGAATGATCATACATCATACCCCCAATCTAGCCTGAATAAAGAAATGTATAGATTAATTCTTTATTTAACCCTGTCGACTTAATTATGCAAGAATTAACTCTCGTATTCTTATGTTTTTTATGCAATGAGAGGTTGAATCACCGAGATGACAGTTGAAGCAGAAGCACTCTGAAGAGAAATTATTCACTTCGCTTGATCAAGCTTAGTAACTTCATAAACAGTATTTTTTTTATTTTTGTTTTGGCAAGCTGATGACCAACAATTATTTTCATAAATACTCGAGCTGTTGAGAGTAAAAAGATGAGAGTCTTTGGTGAAATGATTGATATGCATAATTGTTAATTAGAAGACGTTACATGTAATATAACTATATATGAAAATATTCTGAAATTATTCCTGAAGGACCATCGGTTTACCAAGCAAATTCAAAGGATCTATTGAAGGAATCATTCTTAGATTAACAATTAATTGGTCGTCTCCACGAAATTTAAACTATTGTATGTATTGATATATTAATTAGATTGAATTTCTTATTAAAAGAAAGACAAACCTCTTGGGCACATTCATAAAAGAACTTTTGTAGATTTCTGATATAATTAAATTGGGAAAATATGTCAATTTTCATCAGAATTATGAGAAAACAATTTTTTAGACTCAAATTCTACATAAATGTTTTGTCAATTTAATGATCTAAGCTAGAAATGGAATCCGAAGGAAAAAAAAAAAAAAAAATCATCCTACATAAATTGAGATTTTTTTTTTTTTTTTGAATTGTCTCTAGAGAGACTAAAAGAAAGTCATTATACCTAGCACCATATTTCGATATTGATTGAAGTTGCGTTGTGTATATATATATATATATAATTTGTCCAAGATTAGAACTAATTTTGAGTCATCTAAAATTATGGTTTACAATCCTCAGGTGTTGATTTGACGGTCAAGGAGGTTTGCTTTCTTCATTGACTTTTTGAGTTCAAACTTTGGAGTTACTTATTAGATTGTGACTTACTTGGTTTTTTAAACTTATAGAGTGTTCAAAGGATCTTGGGGATTAGTTAAGGTGTGCGCTAGTTGACTTGGGCGCCTCGATTATCAAAAAATAAAAAATTATGGTTTACAAGTGTATCGGATACCTAGAACATCTTATATTTGGAATTCATCTTCTTGTTGATTAATTAGTTGATGTATATATAATGATTAAAAGGAATGGTAAACAAGAAAATAAAGTTATGCATAGAGGTGGAACAAATGGGCTGGGTTAGGCGGGTCAACCCTAACCCAGCATGCAATGAAGAGGGTTCAACCCACCAACAACCCCTGATTGGGCCGGGTTGCAGAATGGAAACTCGGCGACCTACGGGTTGCTGTTTTGTCCTTTCTAAAGAAGGACCGCCAACCCGTCGGGTTGACCAGCAGGTTGGCTGTTACACCAACGGCCAACCTGTCAGGTTGACCCGCGGGTTGGCCGAAAAACAAATAAAAAAATTTTGCAAAATTTATTTCTTTTTTCAAATTACCTTTTACCCTTGAAATATAGCTGTTTTATAGCCGTTGGAGGGGTCATTTTTGTCATTTTTTCCCCATTTTTTTTCTACATCATTTTTTTTTCAACTACAATGGATAGATATTTCTCTTCCATCAATTTCAATGATGAAGGAAATTACTATCCTAGTCCTAGTCCCGCTGATTTTACTAACATAAATGCAGGAGATTCAAATAGTTCCGCTTTCCCAGTCTCAGAATCCGATACACCTCAAAATATGCCCTTGATTCCAACAACTCCTGGTGGTTCTAGAAGTCGTCCTCGTAATCGTCGTCCTCGTCCAACTTCATCTCAAGCTGAGGCGGGTTCATCAATTGCCGTCGAAACCGAAGACATGCACACATCAGACGTTTGGGCATATTTCGACAAGTTTTATGAGATAGAAAATGACGTTCAAGTCAAGAAAGCAAGATGCAAATATTGTGGAAATGTTTATAAAGCTGATTCAGGTAATGATACTAGTACTTTAAAAATGCATGCTAATAAACATATTGCTCAACATGGAAATAGAGAAAACAATCAAACTCAAATAACTAATATAGGTACTACTTGACATTATAATTTTGATGTATATAGGGAACATTTAGCTTTATATATTGCTGCAACTGATCAACCTATTAATATGGCCGAAAAAGAAAATATTTTGAAAGATTTATTAAAAATTTTTTTTTCTAGGATTTAAAAGTTATTCTAAAACTGCAATTAGAAATGATTTAATAAAATTGTTTAGAAAAATGAAATAGAATTAAAAAATAAAATACATAGTTGTCATGTTGTGTGGCTCTAACTGCCGATATTGGAGTGGTGTAAACAAACAAGATTAATTTGGTGACTAGTCATTATTTTGATAATGAATTTAAATTAAATAATCTTTTAGGATTTAGATTAATGGATGTGGATCATAGTGGTCAACAAATTTAATAAATTGTTGAAGTTTAGAAGATTATGATGTTTTGATAAAGTGATAAGTTTAACTTTAGAATGCAAGTGTTAATACTCAGCTATAGATTTTTTTAAAATTAATTACCCTTTTTATAATAATTTGAAGTGTTTTCACCATCATTGTGCATGTCATATTATTAATTTAATTGTGAAAAGTTGTATGAAAACAATTAAACAATATTGATGGAATTAGGGAATCTTTAGCTTAGATACTAGTAGTAATAAAGAAATGCTGAATTTCAAAACGCTTGTATAAAATCAAATATGTCTCCTAGAATTTTTGCATTAGACATGCCTGTTAGATGGAATAGTACTTATTAATGCTGATCATATTTACCTTATGCTAATATAATTAGTTATTTGTAGCAAATATAGAAGTCCTCATTATTTGGTAGAAAATGATTGGCAGATAGCTAAAATATTTCATTCTTTCTTAAAATTTTGACCAATCCACTTTACAACTTCTGGTGTGTATTATCATAATAGTCCATTGGTAATACATACAATTATAAAATTTCCGCGTTATTACAAAAAAGAAAGACAATAAAATTTTAAATGCACCAATAAAGGCAATGAAATTTTTTTTTGAAATATGGAAACCGATTTCTTTTCTTTATTGTTTAGGTGCTATATTTGATCCTAGAATTAAATTAGCATGTTTAGAAAATGGTTTGATAGTTTAAGTGAAGTTTTACAAACCGAAGCATATGCCAATCAAATAGGAGAGGTAAAAAATAGTATTTTCGAAGTATATTTCCATAATAAAAAGGTATGGGAACCTGCAAAGAGCCGAATATCAGAGAAGCTGCATCAGAAGAAACAAATGAAGACTTCTACTCTTGGAGTGCACTGAATAGGCCGAAGAGGACCCAAATCCGAAGACCAGCCTCCTCTTCAGAAGCACTACCCCAACAACAACAACAACTAATTTACTGTCTTCATGGAGTTGTAGAGTAATAAACTTCAAAAATATTTGGCAACCCCCGAATTGTTACCAGCAGATCACTTTGATCTCTTAGAGTATTGGAGAGCCAGAAAATGTATTTTTCTGGGATTATCAAGACTTGCCTTGGATGTTTTCGCGTTCTGTCTCAACCGTCTCATCCGAACAAACATTTAGTGCAAGTGGAAGAATTTTAAATGAAAGGAGGACTAAACTTTATCCAAAAATGATTGAAATCCTCACATGTCTTCAAGATTGGGAACGATCGTGCCATTAAGATCATACAAGGGTGTCGACAATACTTTAATGAATCATTTCAATTTTGTAAATAGATGATACAGATGAGGGAGGTCCTAGTGAACCACCCCAAATTAGTTATTTTGTAAAATGTAATTTGTAAATTAATTGTCAATTATTACACTCTTTTTTCTTTACACGTTTTTCTCCCATTGGGTTTTTCTTAGTGAGGTTTTTAACGAGGCCATAATTTTTGTAATTTCTTATTTTTTTTTGATAAATGAATAAGTCAATTTTCTTATATTACAATTTTATTGTATTAAAATTGAATTAATATTTGAAATGTTAACAAAAAAAAAAAAAAAAAAAAATTATTTAATGAATTTGAATTTGAAAAGTTAACTAAAACCAATACATTATAATTTATTCATTTATAAATTGTAATTATTTATTGAAAAGTTAAATAATAAAACAAAATAAAATAAAAATAAAAATAGGGCTAACCCGGCCCGGCCTGCCGCCTAACCCGGCAGGTTAGGATTGGTGGGCCGGGCTGGGCCAGCCATTCCCTAAAAATGGCGAGCCTAACCCGGCCTGCCTTTGTTGGCGGGCGGGTTAGGACCGACCCGCCTAATTTCGTAGCCCGCTGCGGGCCGGGCCGGGCAGGTTACTTTTCCAATTTAGTTATGCATGCTTCATTAATGAAATTATTTGGACCCTTCCTTTCTGAAGGATAGAAAATGTTATCAATTTATTAACAATCTTGAGAATTGGCGAGTCCAAAGTGTTAACAGAAGATGTGAACCAAACAAAAATTAGTTAATCCTTAAGATGTTATACAATGAATTCATATCTATTGTATATTTTTTATTACTTCACTATATTATATGATTACTATATATATTCTGAAAAGATACTTAGCATTCTAGGGCAAATCAATTATTGTAAATTTGTAATTTACAGTTTTAGGTCATACATAAACATCAAAGAAAACAAACAAGTTCTGAGACACCAATTCGATATCATTATTACAGAAATTAAAGAAGTAGAGTAACAAAGTAGAAAGCATTATTCCTTCTTTAGTTACCAATTGAAATACAAAATATTTGATGAAGTTGAAGTTCTAAAACCTTACACATGAAAATACAGTACAGAAAAACTGAAGTAAGACATAAATGTGTTTAGAAATTGTTATCTTGCCATGGGAGACATTTGAGTATGAAGATCCAAGTTGACCAGGCCCATAGAAACTGTTGATTCAGCCCACTACTCACATTCCTGAAAACTATCTCAGTCGCCAAACTCTCACAGTTCCGTCACTACCTACTCATGGTGGGCTATTGGTGGAAGTTGAAGTCTACAAGCCATTGCATTTTACAGCTTTCCACACAGAATTTATGCCGAAGTCTCCCCGTAATTTGGATCAACTATATTTCTAATATCTGCCTTTTCAAGCATCGAACTTACCCATCGACTTATATGAGTCCTCTCAAAGCTTTTTCAATCACAGGTTTACCGGTGATATCTTAACAAAACCATTCCAAAACTATACACGTCACTTTTTTCAGTTAACTTGTTTGATGTATAGTACCTGCAGGATCATAACACATGATTCAGGCTAATCAAATTTGAAGTGGATCAAGCAACTAAGTTCTTAATATATGTTTTTCTCAACTTTGATTTTTAGTCTCAAAAGTAACATCAATAATGCGGTTTGACTTACTCAGGGTCGAGGTATCCAGGGGTTCCAGCAATCTTTGTTGACACGTGAGTTCACCTTCAACAGGAAAACTTTTGGAAAGGCCAAAATCAGCTAATTTTGCTTGGAAAGTCTCATTCAGTAAGATGTTGTGGATTTGATGTCTTGTGGACAATTGGTGGCTTACAACCACGGTGGAGGTACCCAACCCTGCATTTTGGAGCAATTAATGCATATAACTTGATTACTCAGAACCATAGAAGGAAGGAAAAAAAAAAAAAAAAGAAAAAAAGGATGTACAATCTAGAAAGAAATTTGCAATTACTTCTTCCTTACCTTGTGCTGCCTGTTTGCTATTCGAATTCTCCCTTCCCAGTCAAGATACCTTCTGGTTGTCTACATATCCATGAAAAGTATAAGTCTCTTGTTTAAATAATGCAACTTCATCAATCAAGTTCTGGTGTTAATATATATATATATGGGGTAAAAATTGAAAGGATTATACCCAAACCTGAGAGATTTGCCAAGTTTCCATTAGCCATGTATTCATAGATCAGTCCATTTCGAGTTCTTCGTCACAGTAACCAACAAGGGCTGTCAAGTTCTTATGATGAACCCTCATAAGAAGTTCAACCTGTGAAGAAAAAATTCATATCCTTTCAGCCAGTAACACAAGTCAATAACTATATACATGAATATGAATGTGTACCTCGGTTGAAACTCCTTGTATCCTTGAGCTGATGATGGAGATAGCATCTTAACAGCTACATGAGTTTGAGTGTTGTCTAAGTAACCATAATAAACTGTTCCAAATCTCCTCTCCCAAGACTCTCTCAAAGTTATTGGTCATTTTCACCACATCAGAGTATGAGAACCTCGATTTTTAACTCCAACGAACCATTCTTCCCAACTGGAAAAATTTGTTAGTGAGCATGGACTAATCCTCCAAATTACAGAAAAAACGTTAATCAGGAAGTGGGGTGTTATTGTTGATACGTTTTAATTCTCGGATCCATAAAATTGCAATATTGCAGCCAAATCACAACAACTGCAACAATTGATGCTACCACAGGAACAATATTAAACTCTTTTTTCTCCTTGCATGAACCGAGGAACAAGTAGCTCTAGAATCAAAACTGAAATAATAACAATGTATGATTAGTATTGGTGTAGATATTTGGCTTTTTTCTTTCTTTCAGTGCGAGAGAAATTTATATACAGGAAACGGAGGTGAAAGTCAGAAATTCCAAGTTTTATAAACATTTGTTTAGAGTAGACCTCAAGTCAGCAAACCCTTGTCCGCTTTTTCTTGGGCCCAGCTGGAACGTGCCTTTGAGATTGTCTTTCAAGTTTCTGCAAAAGAACAGTATAAATTTGATTCTTTTTCTCTTATAGCTGACTATGAGAATTAATCTAGCCTTTCTAACTAATCCAAAATTAATTGACTTACAGCACTTTTATGTTTTGAACGTGATAAAAACTCCGGCACTGATCCAGTCAGATTATGTTTGATAAGTCCCTGAAATGGTGATAGAAAATGTTAATTTCATCACTTAAGGTTGGAAAAATTGCAATTTTAAGTGAAATGAAGTGCTTACAAAGACCTATGGATGACAGACCGAGTATGAAAGGACTTATCTCGCCCGAAAGTCCACTCGATGACAAATTCCTGCGTGGATATATGCCGATCAATAATTCTGTTAACAGTGTTAGATCAAGGTTCAGAAATAAAACACCCTTTTGTTTAAAGGTGTGACTTACAGGGATGTGATCTTTGGGAGTCCAGAATTATAGCGGCAATTAAGACCTTCCACGCCTAACTTAGAGGGACACATGGATCTCCTTGCCAACTTGGTCTTTCACTCCATACTTTTCCTTGATATATGATAGCATCAACTGATATTTTGACAAACACGAATTAATTTTGGTAAGGAATAATTTATTGATTATATGCCCCGAAAGAAAAAGAAGAAAAGAAAAAATACCATCTTGTTCATTTGTCATCAGATCTGAACTGTTTTAGCCAGTATATCTCAACGGCGTTTAGATTGGCGGCAGAGTTGATTCACAGTTCTGTCATTGAAATGGTAATTCTCGAACACTAAAAGGGAAAAGGTTGTATCGTGTTGTTGTGAAGAAGGGAATTGGATCAACATCCGGATACCAAACATCCCCGTTAGCGGAGATGTTAAATTCTCTAGTCTGGTTGCACTTAAATCTTGAATATCAGCAATGTGCGTGAAGTATGATACGACTGGTAACATATCCCCCCAAAAAAATTGCAAAGGTTCGCTCGCATTGCTGGTGTGACAGCAGTACTCATAATTGAAACTGGTACTTGGTACTCGTCAAAATGTTCTCCAGGCGATCAGTTGCTGCGGTGGTGATTATTTTCCAGTTCTTGAAGTTAAATGGACCATATTCGATCAAAACATCATCCTTATACCTACCGGATATAATTTTATTCAGTAAGCAATTTAGACCAACCTAAAAAATTCAAAGTGATACAAAAATTAATTACCTGATTGTTTCGTTGTTGTTGAACCTAAATCAACCTAGGGAGAGCATAGTGATCCATCTAACACAAATGATGCGTAACTGGTATTCTCAATGGCCTCACCTCAAAGCTGATATGAAAGGTGTCCCAAAGCCTGTGTTTTCAAGACAGACATATACATAATTGTTCTGGGGGATGTGGATGATCTCCCTGCAGTGGGAGTAGCCGCGTCTTTGATTTCCACTGTATCCACATCAGAATCAAGCACTAGATTAAAACTTGGCAGGATACCTTGGCCATCATAATTCCATACATAAATCTCGTGGATCAATAACTATTATGGTCAGAACCTTCAGTTTTTATAGTGTAACAATTTCTGGTCCCTGAAAGCTCCTCAGGTTGTAGAATGTGTGATCCAGGGTGCCATTTTTGTATCATCAGAAATACTGTAGTTACACCAGGTGATGATGGTTGCATCCGAACATAATCAATGCCTGTTTCTTATCGTGTAGGGAGAATTTTCCGGAATTCACAGTCTATGCTAATAAAACCTGAGCGACACAGAAAATAATCAGAATGATAAAGGAAGTCATGATATACAGTTAACGAATGGGTATAAAAGATGGAGTTATTGAAACCTGTTTGATTTTGGCATGAACCAGACTGTCGTGGCCAATATGCCAAGAAATGCAAAGATCAAAGGCTCAGATCCCCATAACCATTATTACTTTCTTTCTCATTAAAACGAATTAGTTATCATGATATACTTATAACATTTGCAAAGGATATTTTATGGCAAGTCAATCAATTTATTTAAGGCTATTGTTTCTGTTAGGAGATAGCATTATTTTACTTAAGTGTTGTATCATTCGAATTATTTTGAAGCGTCTTGGAATCTTCAATTCTGATTGTAATTTTAAAATAATTTGGGCAGTTAGATGGGGACAGAACCTAAAATTCAGTAAACGTACCAGGAAGAAAGTTCATCACCAACCTGATGTGTCGGGAAATAACTATGTGAGAAGACTTCAGGAGAAAAAGCTTTTTCATGACAGCATTTTTAATATTCTGAAACCACTGGCCCATCATCAAATTAGGATTATCTCTACAGGGTCAATCATTATTGAATTAGCACTCGAAAAGTATATTTTAAAAACAGAAGTTGAAAACTGTGACGCTTGATTTTGGACGCCAACGACTCGCACGTGGGAAACGCTGAGCTGACTCGGAGCACACCGTGATGGATACATGAGATTTGAATATGGAGCTGAGAATATATATTTGCAGAAAATAAAGTAAAAGATTGGTAAGAGGGGTTTTATAGTGGTTCGGATGCTCCAACATGCGACTCCTCATCACTGTTTTTTATTGATCTCTCACTATTTCTGTTTTGCCCGTAAGGCATACAAAGATGAAGAAATACAGTGTTTTTACAGAGAGAATGAAAATGAAACTAAATCTCAGCCAGCCACCAGCCTCCCCTTTCGGGAAGAGAAATGCCCATTTATTCACAAAACACTTAATGCAATGAGTGTGTTTGCAAGCTGCCTTGATACATGGAAGGCTCTCGTCCATTCATCTTTTGAAATGAGATAAAGTTGGTGAGAATATCTAGAGATATGGGTTTGGCAGCTGGTACAGAGAGACATTAATTGTGCTGACATAGGCTTGACTTTTGGGCATAACAAAAACTATTTCAACTCTCTCTAAAGAGTCATATATCACGGTTGAAATGTTGAGAAGCATTAATTCTTGGCATGGAATAATGGCTGGAATGAAGCTGGATTGGAGGTGATAGTTTCATAAATAATTACACATATTTTATAATTACTATGAACTCATCATAGAAAACGGAAATGGAAAATGTATATCCAATGAATATGTTAGCCTAAATTCTTTATTGATATGTTTAAGTACTTAAGTTACAGGTTGCACGTACGCAGTATATCATCATACAGCAGACTGATCTAACCTGAATACAAAAACAGCTTTTCACAGACTAATTATTTGTTGAGAAGTCAAGCAATGAAATGTTAATTTTTATAATTTCTCGACAGAGTTCATGTAAAACAACTCCTCCTCAATGTCATCAACATTAGTTTTAATTCATTTTAGTAATACTAAACACACAAATTATATGTGCACCATTGTTTTAAAACTCGGACCAGATCAGCCAATTCGACTGGTCTGACCAAGAATCAAACCCTTATCCAGTTCGAATACATCATAAATCTGGTTATAGCAACTAGACTGGATTGACTCAGGATTGAATCGGCGAAATAATATAAATCGTCAGTCCAATCGATTGGATCAATGACGTCAGCATGACATCAATATGACATAATAAAAATTTAAAATTCTAATAAATTTTTTATTTATTTTATTTATCTCCACAAATACTCAAGATTAAGAGTAATTCACAGAGACTTGAAAGCCAACAACATTTTATTAGATGATCAAATGAATCCAAAAATATCTTATTTTAATATTACTAGAATCTTTGGTGTGAATGCATCTATAGCAAATACAAATTGAATTGTTGGGACATAGTAAGTATATGCTAAATTTTCTATCAAAAGACATAGATTATATACCTTTTTCAATTATTAATAACGGGAGTTAATTGATTTTTACAGAGGCCATATGTCTCCCAAGTATGCCATGAATGGCATTGTGTCAATTAAAACTGATGTATATAGTTTTAGAGTTTTAGTACTAGAAATTGTGAGTGGCAAGAAGAACAATGGCTTCTATCACAAAAAACCTCCACTCAATCTTGTAGGATACATAAGTTCTCAATCAAATTGTGTACTTTTCATAAAGGCATAGAATCTAACCTTGAATATCTCATGTTTCAGGCATGGCAGCTATGGAATGAAGGTAAAGGCTTGGAGCTGTTGGATCCAACAATAGATGAATCTTGCTCTCCTGATGAAGTTCTGAGATGCCTACATATTGGTCTCCTGTGCGTACAAGACCAGGCAATTGACAAACCCACAATGCCAGAAGTTGTTTCCATGCTCACAAATGAAGCAATTCTTCTATCTGCACCAAAACAAACACCGTTTTATATCAATGAATTCATCGAAGAATCAGAAAATCCTGGAAAAAAGGTAGACGACTGCTCCATAAACACTGTAACAATCTCAGTAATGGAAGCTAGATAAAGATACTAGTAACCCACTTGGTTATTGAGACCACTACAGCAGGAAAGAGGTAAAAGGAAAATTACTTCAAACAATTTAATGCTCCATTAAATTGTGAAATGCGTAATCTGAATGTATATAATCTATTGAGTGAACTATGTAAAATTCTGCTTTTACTGGCTGTAAATCTGAGATGTTAAAAAGTAAGTTCACGGTGATTATTAACTCTGTTTCGTTATCAAATACATAATGAGTCTGTATTTTGGACAAGTGTAAAGTCTTAACTTAAGTTTAGGCAATTAACTTAAGTATTTATCATGTGAAAGAATCTCAACATTAAAATAGAATCAACTGTTGTGTTACGGGATAACGGGGTGGGACGAGGAGTGCTTTTTGAGGACTGGAATGGGGTCCCCACCCGGCCACCCCGCCCCATTGCCGTGCTTATCATAAGAAAAGAATTTCCTACTCCAAAATTGAAAGAAGAAATAAAGATATAGGGCCCTCTAGAATCAAAACTGAAAAATAACAATGTATGATTAGTATGGTGTAGATATTTGGCTTTTTCTTTCTTTCAGTGCGAGAGAAAATTATTACAGGAAACGGTGAAAGTTCAGAAATTTCCAAGTTTTATAAACATTTGTTTAGAGTAGACCTCAATGTCAGCAAACCCTTGTCCGCTTTTCTTGGAGCAGCTGGAACTGTGCCTTTGAGATTGTTTCCTTTCAAGTTTCTGCAAAAGAACAGTATAAATTTGATTCTTTTTTCTTTAGCTGACTATGAGAATTAATCTAGCTTCATAACCAAAAATTAATGACTTACAGCACTTTATGTTTTGTAACTGTGATAAAAACTCCGGCACTGATCCAGTCAGATATTGTTTGATAAGTCCCTGAAATGGTGATAGAAAATGTTAATTTCATCACTAAAGGTTGGAAAAATTGACATTTTAAGTGAAACTGAAGTGCTTACAAAGACTCTATGGATGACAGACCGAGTATGAAAGGACTTATCTCGCCCGAAAGTCCACTCGATGACAAATTCCTGCGTGGATATATGCCGATCAATAATTCTGTTAACAGTGTTAGATCAAGGTTAGAAATAAAACACCTTTGTTTAAAGGTGTGAACTACAGGGATGTGATCTTTGGGAGTCCAGAATTATAGCGGCAATTAAGACCTTCCCACGCATAACTTAGAGGGACACATGGATCTCCTTGCCAACTTGGTCTTTTCACTCCATACTTTTCCTTGATATTCATGATGCATCAACTGATATTTTGACAAACACGAATTAATTTTGGTAAGGAAAAATTATTGATTTCTATAGCCCGAAAGAAAAAGAAGAAAAGAAAAATACCATCTTGTCATTTGTCATCAGATCTGTGAACTGTTTTAGCCAGTATATCTCAACGGCGTTTAAGATTGGCGGCAGAGTTGATTCACAGTTCTGTCCATTGAAATGGTAATTCTCGATCCACTAAAAGGGAAAAGGTTGTATCGTGTTGTGTGAAGAAGGGAATGGATCAACATCGGATACCAAACATCCCGTTAGCGGGATGTTAAATTCTCTAGTCTGGTTGGCAATAAATCTTGAATATCAGCAATGTGCGTGAAGATATGATACGATCTGGTAACATTATCCCCAAAAAAATTGCAAAGGTTCGCTCGCATTTGCTGGTGTGACAGCAGTACTCATAATTGAAACTGGTACTTGGTACTCGTCAAACATGTTCTCCAGGCGATCAGTTGCTGCGGTGGTGATTATTTTCCAGTTCTTGAAGTTAAATGGCAACCATATTCGGCAACAATCATCCTTTACCTACAGGATATAATTTATTCAGTAAGCAATTTAGACCAACATAAAAAATTCAAAGTGATACAAAAATTAATTACCTGATTGTTTCGTTTGTTGTTGAACCTAAATCATACTATGGGAGAGCACTAGTGATCCATCTAACACAAATGATGCGTAACTGGTATTCATCAATGGCCTCACCTTAAAGTGTATGAAAGGTGTCCCAAAGCCTGTGTTTTCAAGACAGACAATACATAATTGTTCTGGGGATGTGGATGATCCCCTGCTAGTGGGAGTAGCCGCGTCTTTGATTTCCACTGTATCCCATACATCAGACTCAAGCACTAGATTAAAACTTGGCAGGATACCTTGGCCATCATAATTTCCAACATAAATCTCGCTGGATCAATAACTTATTATGGTCGAACCTTCAGTTTTTATAGTGTAACAATTTGGTCTTCAGGAAAGCCCTCAGGTTGTAGAATTGTTGATCCGGGTGCCATTTTTGTACTCATCAGAAATACTGTATGTTACACCAGTGTCTGATGGTTGCATCCGAAACATAATCAATGCCTGTTTTCTTATCCGTGTAGGGAGAATTTTCCGGAATTCACAGTCTGCTAATAAAACCTGAGCGACACAGAAAATAATCAGAAATTGATAAAGGAAGTCATGATACAGTTAACGAATGGGTATAAAAGATGGAGTTATTGAAACCTGTTTGATTTTGGGCATGAACCAGAACTGTCGTGGCCAATATGCAAGAAATGCAAAGATCAAAGGCTTCAGAATCCCTAAACCATTATTACTTTCTTTCTAGGATTAAAACGAATTAGTTATCATGATACTACTTATAACATTTGTCAAGGATATTTTATGGCAAGTCAATCAATTTTATTTAAGGCTATTGTTTCTGTTAGGAGATAGGCATATTATTTTACTTAAGTGTTGCTATCATTCGGAATTATTTTGAAGCGTCATTTGGAATCTTCAACTTCTGATTGTAATTTTAAAATAATTTGGGCATGTTAGATGGGGACCAGAACCTCTAAAATTTCAGCTACAACTGTACCAGGAAGAAAGTTCACACAAACTGATGTGTCGGGAAATTAACTATTGAAGAAGACTTCCAGGAGAAAAGCTTTTCATGACAGGCATTTTTAATATTCTGAAACCACGGCCCATCATCAAATTAGGATTATCTCTACAGGGTCAATCATTATTGAATTAGCACTCGAACAAGTATTATTTAAAGACAGAAGTTGAAAACTGTTGACGCTTGATTTTGGACGCCAAGACTCGCAAGTGGGAAACGCTGAGCTGACTAGGAGACACACGTGATGGATACATGAGATTTGAATATGGAGCTGAGAATATATATTTTGCAGAAAAATAAGTAAAAGATGGTAAGAGGGGTTTTTATAGTGGTTCGGATGCTCAACATGCGATCCTACATCCACTGTTTATTTATTGATCTCTCACTATTTCTATGATTTGCCGTAAGGCATACAAAGATGAAGAAAATACAGTGTTTTTACAGAGAGAAGAAAATGAAACTAATCTCAGCCCAGCCACCAGCCTCCCCTCTTCGGGAAGAGAATGCCCATTTATTCACAAAACACTTAATGCAATGATGTGTTTGCAAGCTGCCTTGATACATGGAAGGCTCCGTCCATTCATCTTTTGAAATGAGATAAAGTTGGTGAGAATATCTTAGAGAATGGGTTTGGCAGCTGGTACAGAGAGACATTAATTGTGCTGACATAGGCTTGACTTTTTGAGGCATAACAAAAACTATTTCAACTCTCTCTAAAGAGTCATATTCATCAGGTGAAAGTTGAGAAGCATTAATTCTTGGCATGGAATAATGTTGGCTGGAATGAAGCTGGATTGGAGGTGATAGTTTATAAATAATTACACAATATTTTATAATTACTATGAACTCATCATAGAAAACGGAAATGGAAAATGTATATTCCAATGAAATGATGTTAGCCTAAATTCTTTATTGATATGTTAAGTCTTAAGTTTACGGGATTTATAATTTATTCATTTATAAATTGTTAATTATTTATTTGAAAAGTTAAATAAATAAAACAAAATAAAATAAAAAATAAAAAATAGGGCTAACCCGGCCCGGCCTGCCGCCTAACCCGGCAGGTTAGGATTGGTGGGCCGGGCTGGGCCAGCCATTTCCCTAAAAATGGCGAGCCTAACCCGGCCTGCCTTTGTTGGCGGGCGGGTTAGGACCGACCCGCCTAATTTCGTAGCCCGCTGCGGGCCGGGCCGGGCAGGTTACTTTTCCAACTTTAGTTATGCATGCTTCATTAATGAAATTATTTGGACCCTTCCTTTCTGAAGGATAGAAAATGTTATCAATTTTATTAACAATCTTGAGAATTGGCGAGTCCAAAGTGTTAAACGAAGATGTGAACCAAACAAAATATTAGTTAATCCTTAAGATGTTATACAATGAATTCAATATCTATATGTATATTTTTTATTACTTCACATATATTATATGATTACTATATATATTCTGAAAAAGATAAATCTTAGCATTCTAGTGCAAATCAATTATTGTAAATTTGTAATTTACAGTTTTAGGTCATACATAAACATCAAAGAAAACAAACAAGTTCTGAGACACCAATTCGATATCATTATTACAGAAAATTAAAGAAGTAGAGTAACTAAAGTAGAAAGCATTATTCCTTTCTCTTTTAGTTACCAATTGAAATACAAATTATTTGATGAAGTTGAAGTTCTAAAACCTTACACATGAAAATACAGTACAGAAAAACTGAAGTAAGACATATATAAATGTGTTTAGAAATTTTGTTATCTTGCCATGGGAGACATTTGAGTATGAAGATCCAAGTTGACCAGGCCCATAGAAACTGTTGATTCAGTCCCACTACTCACATTCCTGAAAGCTATCTCAGTCGCCAAACTCTCATTCAGTTCCGTCACAACCCTACTCATGGTTGGCCTATTGGTGGAAGTTGAAGCTATACAAGCCATTGCTATTTCTACAGCTTTCCACACAGAATTTATGCCGAAGTCTCCCCGTAATTTTGGATCAACTATATTTCTAATATCTGCCTTTTCAAGCATCGAACTTACCCATCGACTTATATGAGTCCTCTCAAAGCTTTTTTCAATCACAGGTTTACCAGTGATTATCTCTAACAAAACCATTCCAAAACTATACACGTCACTTTTTTCAGTTAACTTGTTTGATGTATAGTACCTGCAGGATCATAACACATGATTCAGGCTAATCAAATTTGAAGTGGATCAAGCAACTAAGTTTCTTAATATATGTTTTCTCAACTTTGATTTTTAGTCTCAAAAGTAACATCAATAATGCGGTTTGACTTACTCAGGGTCGAGGTATCCAGGGGTTCCAGCAATCTTTGTTGACACGTGAGTTTCACCTTCAACAGGAAAACTTTTGGAAAGGCCAAAATCAGCTAATTTTGCTTGGAAAGTCTCATTCAGTAAGATGTTTGTGGATTTGATGTCTCTGTGGACAATTGGTGGCTTACAACCACGGTGGAGGTACTCCAACCCTGCATTTTGGATGCAATTAATGCATATAACTTGATTACTCAGAACCATAGAAGGAAGGAAAAAAAAAAAAAGAAAAAAAAGGATGTACAATCTAGAAAGAAATTTGCAATTATCTTCTTCCTTACCTTGTGCTGCCTCTGTTGCTATTCGAATTCTCCCTTCCCATGTCAAGATACCTTCTTGGTTGTCTACATATCCATGAAAAGTATAAGTCTCTTGTTTAAATAATGCAACTTCATCAATCAAGTTCTGGTGTATATATATATATATATATGGGGTAAAAATTGAAAGGATTAATACCCAAACCTGAGAGATTTGCTTCCAAGTTTCCATTAGCCATGTATTCATAGATCAGTCCCATCTTCGAGTTCTCGTCACAGTAACCAACAAGGGCTGTCAAGTTCTTATGATGAACCCTCATAAGAAGTTCAACCTGTGAAGAAAAAATTCATATCCTTTCAGCCAGTAACACAAGTCAATAACTTAATATACATGAATATGAATGTGTACCTCGGCTTGAAACTCCTTGTATCCTTGAGCTGATGATGGAGATAGCATCTTAACAGCTACATGAGTTTGAGTGTTGTCTAAGTAACCATAATAAACTGTTCCAAATCCTCCTCTCCCAAGAACTCTCTCAAAGTTATTGGTCATTTTCACCACATCAGAGTATGAGAACCTTCGATTTTTTAACTCCAACGAACCATTCTTCCCAACTGGAAAAATTTGTTAGTGAGCATGGACTAATCCTCCAAATTACAGAAAAAACGTTTTTAATCAAGAAGTGGGGTGTTAATGTTGATACCCTTTCTAATTCTTCGGATCCATAAAATTGCAAATATTGCAGCCAAAATCACAACAACTGCAACAATTGATGCTACCACAGGAACAATATTAAACTTCTTTTTCTCCTTGCATGAACCCGAGGAACAAGTAGTAGTATCTGAATTTCCATCCACTCTAGAATCAAAACTGAAATGATAACAATGTATGATTAGTATTGGTGTAGATATTTGGCATTTTTCTTTCTTTCAGTGCGAGAGAAATTTATATACAGGAAACGGTGAAAGTTCAGAAATTTCCAAGTTTTATAAACATTTGTTTAGAGTAGACCTCAATGTCAGCAAACCCTTGTCCGCTTTTTCTTGGAGCCCAGCTGGAACTGTGCCTTTGAGATTGTTTCCTTTCAAGTTTCTGCAAAAGAACAGTATAAATTTGATTCTTTTTCTCTTATAGCTGACTATGAGAATTAATCTAGCCTTTCTAACTAATCCAAAATTAATTGACTTACAGCACTTTTATGTTTTGTAACTGTGATAAAAACTCCGGCACTGATCCAGTCAGATTATTGTTTGATAAGTCCCTGAAATGGTGATAGAAAATGTTAATTTCATCACTTAAAGGTTGGAAAAATTACAATTTTAAGTGAAACTGAAGTGCTTACAAAGACTCTATGGATGACAGACCGAGTATGAAAGGACTTATCTCGCCCGAAAGTCCACTCGATGACAAATTCCTACGTGGATATATGCCGATCAATAATTCTGTTAACAGTGTTAGATCAAGGTTCAGAAATAAAACACCCTTTTGTTTAAAGGTGTGAACTTACAGGGATGTGATCTTTGGGAGTCCAGAATTATAGCGGCAATTAAGACCTTCCCACGCATAACTTAGAGGGACACATGGATCTCCTTGCCAACTTGGTCTTTTCACTCCATACTTTTCCTTGATATTCATGATAGCATCAACTGATATTTTGACAAACACGAATTAATTTTGGTAAGGAATAAATTTATTGATTTCTTATAGCCCGAAAGAAAAAGAAGAAAAGAAAAAAAATACCATCTTGTTCATTTGTCATCAGATCTGTGAACTGTTTTAGCCAGTATATCTCAACGGCGTTTAAGATTGGCGGCAGAGTTGAATTCACAGTTCTGTCCATTGAAATGGTAATTCTCGATCCACTAAAAGGAAAAAGGTTGTATCGTGTTGTTGTGAAGAAGGGAAATGGATCAAAATCCGGATACCAAACATCCCCGTCAGCAGAGATGTTAAATTCTCTAGTCTGGTTGGCACTTAAATCTTGAATATCAGCAATGTGCGTGAAGATATGATACGATCTGGTAACATTATCCCCCCAAAAAAATTGCAAAGGTTCGCTCGCAATTGCTGGTGTGACAGCAGTACTCATAATTGAAACTGGTACTTGGTACTCGTCAAACATGTTCTCCAGGCGATCAGTTGCTGCGGTGGTGATTATTTTCCAGTTCTTGAAGTTAAATGGCAACCATATTCGATCAACAACATCATCCTTATACCTACAGGATATAATTTTATTCAGTAAGCAATTTAGACCAACATAAAAAATTCAAAGTGATACAAAAATTAATTACCTGATTGTTTCGTTTGTTGTTGAACCTAAATCATACCTAAAGAAGAGCACTAGTGATCCATCTAACACAAATGATGCGTAACTGGTATTCATCAATGGCCTCACCTCTAAAGCTGATATGAAAGGTGTCCCAAAGCCTGTGTTTTCAAGACAGACATATACATAATTGTTCTGGGGGATGTGGATGATCTCCCTGCTACGGGGAGTGGCCGCGTCTTTGAATTCCACTGTATCCCATACATCAGACTCAAGCACTAGATTAAAACTTGGCAGGATACCTTGGCCATCATAATTTCCATACATAAATCTCGCTCGGATCAATAACTTATTATGGTCAGAACCTTCAGTTTTTATAGTGTAACAATTTCTGGTCCCTTCAGGAAAGCTTCTCAGGTTGTAGAATTGTTGATCCAGGGTGTCATTTTTGTACTCATCAGAAATACTGTATGTTACACCGGTGTCTATGGTGGTTGCATCCGAAACATAATCAATGCCTGTTTTCTTGTCCGTGTAGGGAGAATTTTCCGGAATTCCACAGTCTATGCTAATAAAACCTGAGCGACGCAGAAAATAATCAGAAATTGATAAAGGAAGTCATGATATACAGTTAACGAATGGGTATAAAAGATGGAGTTATTGAAACCTGTTTGATTTTGGGCATGAACCAGAACTGTCGTGGCCAATATGCCAAGAAATGCAAAGATCAAAGGCTTCAGAAACCCCATAACCATTATTACTTTCTTTCTCAGGATTAAAACGAATTAGTTATCATGATACTACTTATAACATTTGTCAAAGGATATATTTTATGGCAAGTCAATCAATTTTATTTAAGGCTATTGTTTCTGTTAGGAGATAGGCATATTATTTTACTTAAATGTTGCTATCATTCGGAATTATTTTGAAGCGTCATTTTGGAATCTTCAACTTCTGATAGTAATTTTAAAATAATTTGGGCATGTTAGATAGGGACCATAACCTCTAAAATTTCAGCTACAACTGTACCAGGAAGAAAGTTCATCACCAACCTGATGTGTCGGGAAATTAACTATTGAAGAAGACTTCCAGGAGAAAAAGCTTTTCATGACAGGCATTTTTAATATTCTGAAACCACTGGCCCATCATCAAATTAGGATTATCTCTACAGGGTCAATCATTATTGAATTAGCACTCGAACAAGTATTATTTTAAAGACAGAAGTTGAAAACGATTTTCAACTCTCTCTAAAGAGTCAATATTCATCAGGTTGAAATGTTGAGAAGCATTAATTCTTGGCATGGAATAATGTTGGCTGGAATGAAGCTGGATTGGAGGTGATAGTTTCATAAATAATTACACAATATTTTATAATTACTATGAACTTATCATAGAAAGCGGAAATGGAAAATATATATTCGAATGAAATGATGTTAGCCTTAATTCTTTATTGATATGTTAAGTACTTAAGTTTACAGGATTGCATGTTCGCAGTATATCATCATACAGCAGACTGATCTAACCTGAATACAAAAATATCTTTTCATAGACTAATTCTTTGTTGAGAAGTCAAGCCATGAAATGTTAATTTTTATAATTTCTCGACAGAGTTCATGTAAAACAACTCCTTCTCAATGTCATCAACATTAGTTTTAATTCATTTTAGTAATACTAAACACACAAATTATATGTGTACAATTGTTTTAAAACCCGGACAAGATCAGCCAATTCGACTGGTCCGACCAAGAATCAAACCCTTATCTGGTTCAAATACATCATAAATCTGGTTATAGCAGCTAGACCGGATTGACTTAGGATTGAACCGGTAAAATAATATAAATCGCCAATCCAATCGATTGAATCGGTCGGTTGAATCGGTTGGATTGGTGATGTCAGCATGAAATCAACATGACATAATAAAATTTTAAAATTCTAATAAATTTTTGATTTATTTTATTTATCTTATATTGTTATTTAGATTTTGGATTTGGATGAAATTATTTTGAAAATTTATTAGAATTTTTAAATTTTATTATTTTACACTAACATCAGCGATCCTACCTCCCGACTTGGGAACCAGCACCTTGATTGAGTCAAGGCCTGATTCGGGTCTTACAAAATTGATGTTTATGAATCGATGTGATATTATTCTTATTTTGTTCTTTCAAAAAGAAATAATTGTAGATATATTTACTTTATTATCTCCATGAGTCATCTTAAACTATATATAGTTGTATTCATAATTATAAATTAAATACTGTGACTATATTAAGTATTTTGTTTGAATTTTTATTTTAAATATTTGTTTCTTAATTTAAAGAAACAAGTTGACTATAAAACAATTTTTTCTTAAACTACATGAGTCGAAAGAAAAAAAAAAATTGATTATTTAATGCACGATTAAAGCACTTCCTAAGACAATTTATCCACTTTGGTTTGACTAAGCTTCGCATATTTTATTAATTAACTGAGGATCGCTTCTGAAGTAGCCCAGGTTCCTGGCGGCCCAAGTAGCTCTTCAGGCCCTATATCTTTATTTCTTCTTTCAATTTTGGAGTAGGAAATTCTTTTCTTATGATAAGCACGGCAATGGGGCGGGGTGGCCGGGTGGGGACCCCATTCCAGTCCTCAAAAAGCACTCCTCGTCCCACTCCGTTATCCCGTAACACAACAGTTGATTCTATTTCAATGCTAAGATTCTTTCACATGACAAATACTTAAGTTAGTCACCTAAACTTAAGCTAAGACCTTACAACTTGTCCAAAATATAGACTCATTATGTATCTGATAACGAAACAAATTTAATAATCACCATGAACTTACTTTTTAACATCTCAGATTTACAGCCAGTAAAAGCAGAATTTGACATAGTTCACTCAATAGATTATATACATTCAGATTACGCATTTCACAATTTAATGGAGCATTAAATTGTTTGAAGTAATTTTCCTGTTACCTCTTTCCTGCTGTAGTGGTCTCAATAACCAAGTGGGTTACTAGTATCTTTATCTAGCTTCCATTACTGTGATTGTTACAATGTTTATGGAACAGTCTTTTACCTTTTTTCCAGGATTTTCTGATTCTTCAGTAAATTATTGATATAAAACGGTGTTTGTTTTGGTGCAGATAGAAGAATTGCTTCATTTGTGAGCATGGAAACAACTTCTGGCATTGTGGGTCTGTCAATTGCCTGGTCTTGTACGCACAGGAGACCAATATGTAGGCATCTCAGAACTTCATCAGGAGAGCAAGATTCGTCTATTTTTGGATCCAACAACTCCAAGCCTTTACCTTCATTCCACAGCTGCCATGCTTGAAACATGAGACATTCGAGGCTAGATTATATACCTTTATGAAAAGTACACAATTTGATTGAGAACTTATGTATCCTACAAGATTGAGTGGATGTTTTTTGTGATAGCAGCCATTGTTCTTCTTGCCACTCACAATTTCTAGTACTAAACTCCAAAACTATATACATCAGTTTTAATTGACACAATGCCATTGATGACATACTCCGGAGACATATAGTCATTGTAAAAATCAAACTCTCGTTATTAATAATTGAAAAAGGTATATAATCTATGTCTTTTGGTAGAAAATTTAGCATATACTTATTATGTCCCAACAATTCTACTTGTATTTGCTATAGATTCATTCACACCAAAGATTCTAGCCATATTAAAATAAGATATTTTTGGATTCATTTGATCATCTAATAAAATGTTGCTGGCTTTCAAGTCTCTGTGAATTACTCTTAATCTTGAGTATTTGTGTAGATAAATAAGTCCTTGAGCAATTCCTTCAATTATGTTGAAGGAATTGCTCAAGGACTGAATATATTCCAGTTTAATAGTTTCTTTCTATGAGAATCTGCCACAAAACAACAAATCAAATTTAAGTAGTTGATAAGTGAGAAACTCATGTTGCAAATTCATCATATGTTGAAATGGTGGCCTACCGAAAATGAAGAAATCCAAGCTTTTGTTCGGCATGTACTCATAGATTAAAATCCTTTCTTCTGCCTACAGAGAACATCCTAAAAGTCTAACAAGATTAGTATGCTGGAGTTTTGCAATAAGCTTTGCTTCATTTTGGAACTCTTCTATTCCTTGGTTAGAACTTTTTGAGAGTCTCTTTATTGCTATTTCTTGCCCGTCAAGTAATATCCCCTTAAATCCTATGACAATTGATCATTATAAAACTACTATCAATTACTGAGTTGCAAAGTCGTAACTTGTAAATTGCACCAAAATCGCCCTTCCCAAGAACATTTGTAGTTGGGAAATTGTTTGTAGCAGTAGCGATGGTTTGAAACATAAATATATTCAGTTCATGCTCGATATTGTCATTTTTCTCTTGTGTTATTCGGTTGTTCATTATATTCTCCACTAAATTAGATACATAGAAATAAGATTCTAATAATCATGATTGATAATTTGCAATCATATTTATTTGATCCAAGCTTACCTTTTGCCTTGCATATTCGCCATATCAAATAGCATAAGTAGCAGAATAGGGGAACTAGTAGAGCTGCTCCTACTATAATCAATGATAACCACCATTTGTCTTTTTTATTGGAAAATTTTCAAAATTTAATTTTGTTATGCTGGAAAAAGTAGGGCTGATGTGGAGCCTCGTCAGTAAAGGATAGTCAGAGTTCAGAAGGGTTTTGTGATGTCCAGGTGCAGCCACGTCGTGCCTAGCATAAGTGGCATGGCTCCTGTCAGTGTAGCAGGTGAGTGCCAGGCTAGCAAGCAGTTAGAGATCGCCCACGTGTCAAAGCCCTACTTTAAATCGAGGAAATCCCTCGGGCAGGTGATCAATGGGACGCAAAGAAAGGATTTTCATGACATCTACCCATTTGCAGCTTTTATAATCATCACCTTGAACTTTCCCATTATAAATAGAGGACTTCCCTCTCATTTTAGGGTATTAGCTAATTTTTATGTTGAAATAGCTCTCACTCTCTAAACTGTAACTCAGTTTGCTGAATGCGATCTGATCACTCTCTTATTAATACAATAGTAGTAGACATAGGATTCATTTGCAAGCATCCGAACCACTTTAAACATTGCCTCTCCGATAAGAGTGTAATTTACATATTTTTTATTCCTATCATATTATGTTTTTGTTATGTTTGATGCCTAATTGAGTTGATTAGAGTTTATTTTGTAAGTTTGGCATATTTGGATAGACTTTAGGAAATAATTAAGAAAAGATTAGGAAATTCCAGATTTTCCAGATTTTTCGTTATTCTGACCAGTGCTGTGTTTTTCAGGTTTTTCATGGAGTCAGACTTCTCGATTGCAAAAGTGTCCTTAAGAATAAGTAAAGTTGACAAATCAAGCTTTCCAGGAAGGTATTATGGGCGAAAATCCGAGTTCGTTTGGGTTCTCAGTAATCGATACAAAACCGGACCTGGAATCCTAGTCGCGGTAGGATTTCCTGGCTGAGCATTGAATCTTCGAACGGACCTAACTGGAGCATCAGATATCGAAAGCGGGTGATTCAAAAGCCCAGATTCATCTGCACATCCGGGAATACAATTTTTATGAAGTGACTGAGCCCAGAAAAGAACTTTTACATTGCAAGAATCCTGGTGCAAGCTGGAGACGAATTCTGGAATCCATATCTGATAAGATTTTGTCAAATCTGGAAGTCTATCTTTTAGGAAACGTCTAGGAAAGATTTTCCGTGATTCCTGGAGTAGAATTAGGAGAAAAACATGTTATTTATTCAGGAGTGTTAGGAT